CCTAGAAGGATGCAATGAAGTGGACGATATGAATGATAAGCTCGTGGAAACGGTCCATGCGGTTGGAGCTAAGTTTTGCAAGACCCACCGCAGAAGAAAACAAAAACTCTCCTATCACACTCTTAATCTCATAGGCATAGTTGTACGTCCGTCAGCCAGTGCGCTTCAAGCACTCTTGAATAAAATGATCATAAAAATTACTCCCGTGTCATAAAGCAAAGCGACACGCTCATATCGCGTGCATTGGTATACAAAGTATTTTTATTGTATTGTCTTATATTTGTATTATATTATATCAATATATCAATGATCGCGTGACATTAACCCATTTCAACTTACAAAAACACAACTTAAATTCAATTGTGAAAATTTAATCTAGTGTATTGTGTAAGAAATTGCAACCTTCACTGATGACCTTTTGAACTTGACACAAGGAGTACAAATTTTATAGCCCATCGTCTCTATGAGGCATTTTTATTACTCTGGCTCCACCTCCTGGGATATCCTCATTTTAAAGTTGATCGCGCAGAAAAACCCCGAACATAGCTCTTTCTCCGTAGCACGCTGAGCGACCATGAGCTTCTTCATACGGCCAGCAGGAAAGGACCACAGATCCATCTGGTATAACTGGCAACAAACACTGGTTGTCAAGTTTTGAAGTATACCTGATAAAAGATGTGTCATAATCTTCCATCCAATGTCACTAGGTAAGTCTGACTTTATTAGTGGCATTGTTTGTTCTAGGTAAAAATATTCGTCGACAACTTCATGCGTAGTGCTTCCAACAACTACCGGCATAGGTGTGACATGGACGTTGCAGATGACCTTTGTTTTGTCGATGTTCATCTTAAGACCTATCCGTTGGGAAACACTATTGAGCTCATTAAGCATAGTGCTTAGGTCCTCCAGCGATTCTGCCATAAGGACTATATCGTCGGCAAATCGAAGGTGAGTGATGTACTCGCCATTGATGTTAGTACCGTATCCTAGTGTATTGTGTAAGAAATTGCAACCTTCACTGATGACCTTTTAAATTTGTACTCCTTGTGGAGTACAAATTTTATAACCTATCGTCCCTATGAGGCATTTTTATTATTCTGGCTCCACCTCCTGGGATATCCTCATTTTGAAGTTGATCGCGCAGAAAAACCCCGAGCATAGCCCTCTCTCCGTAGAATGCTGAGCGACCATGAGCTTCTTCATACGGCCAGCAGGAAAGGACCACAGATCATATGGTATCACTGGCAACAAACACTGGTTAGAATAGAATAGAATAGAATAGAATATTTTTTATTCAATATACATTACATGTGTAATTCTTATTGAAAGTCATTTTTTACTTTACCACTGGTTCGAAAAAAACCCTCTGTCCTGGGAAGAATCAGCAAGAAACCCAGCGGGACTTTTTTTTTAAATAAATTTTACAATATAAATGATTACGAACTATTTACAAAATTTATTTTAGAAACTGCTTGGAAGCGATCACCTCATTCCCAGGGGTTATTATCAACCATGTATTCATTTATACTATAATAACCCTTTTTATACAGTTTCAGCTTAATAAAACATTTAAACTTGGTAATAGAGAGAACCTGTACACTTTCCGGGACCTTGTTTTAATAGCATATACATTGCCCCAAGAATGAATTACTGACTCTGTGGAGTCGAGAAACTGGTATCACTAGCTTGTGTTTGTTCCTAGTGTTTACAGAATGTATATCACTTCTTTTACTAAAACTATCTTTGTTTTTGTGAACATACATTAAATTTTCGTAAATATACTGAGAGGCCAAAGTTAATATATTAATTTCTTTAAATTTATCTCTAAGAGACTCTCTCGGTTTTAGATTGTAAATAGCTCTAATGGCCCTCTTCTGTAAAACAAAAATAGTTTCTGAATCAGCCGCATTTCCCCATAGCAAAATCCCATAAGACATTATGCTATGAAAATAACTAAAATAAACTAATCTAGCTGTCTCGACACTAGTGAGACCTCTAATCTTTTTTACAGCATAGGCTGCAGAACTTAGTCTGCTTGCTAATTTTGAATTTTAAATTGCTATATATGGGGCCCCACTGGAGCTTTGCGTCAAGAGTGATGCCAAGAAAAACAGTGGATACAACAGGGCTCAATTCCTCCCCATTTAAAAACACATTGGTATTCAGATTTTGAACATTCGTTGTTGTAAATTTAACACAATTAGTTTTATTTCCGTTCAAATGCAGATTATTAACGTTAAACCAATGCACTAATTTTGATATAGCATTATTCACTTCGTCACATTTAAATGATTGACGTTTATGTTTAAAAATCAAGGAAGTATCATCAGCAAATAATACTATATCATGACTATCCCCTACAAGGTGAGGTAAGTCATTAATATACACCAGAAACAGGGATGGGCCGAGAATCGAGCCCTGAGGTACACCCATTAGTACAGGTGACCCGGAAGAACTTTTACCATTGATAATAACCTTCTGTTTTCTATTACTTAAATATGAAATAATAAGTTTAAGCGCTGTGTTCTTGACACCATAGTACTGTAGCTTCCTGATTAATGTCTCATGGTGAACACAGTCGAAGGCCTTGGAAAGGTCACAAAATATACCCAAAGCATCCTCAGAATTCTCCCATGCACAAAAAATATGTTTAATAAGCTCAACTCCAGCGTCAGTTGTAGAGCGACCCCTTGTAAAACCGAATTGATTATTATGTAGCAATTTATTAATATTAAAGAAACTTAACATCTGATCTAAAATAATTTTTTCAAAAATTTTACTTAATGTTGGTAGTACAGAAATTGGTCTAAAATTGGCGGGGTCTAATGTACTACCAGATTTAAATATAGGTATGACTTTACTATGTTTCATTAAATCAGGAAACACACCAGATTCGACGCTTATATTAAATATAGTGGCTAGATAAGGTGCTAATGTATCTATTATAGATAAAATAACTTTAACGGAAATCCCCCATAAGTCTGCCGTTTTCTTAACATCAATAGTTTTAAAATATTTAACGATATCTTTTGGCAGTACCCTATGGAATTTAAAAGTATTTGAACAAGCCTTTACATTTTGTTTGAGCAATGATTCGGCGACAGTAGGAGAAGAATTTAATGATTTTGTTGTCAAAAAAGGAACATCAGTAAAATGTTTCTCAAAAGCCATAGCAACTTCTTGATCAGATCGCGTTAAATTATTGTTAATATTCAATTGAAAATCCGAGTTGCGCGGTTTGACCTTGCCCGTTTCACTATTTATTATTCTCCAGGTCATTTTAATTTTGTCGGATGCAGTTTTAATTTTGTTGCTTAAATGTAAAGCCTTAGCAGTGGAGCACACTTTTTTAAATATTTTAGAATATGTTTTTACATAATCTCTAAATATAACACTACTATTATATGATCTTTCATCATAAAGCTCGTATAACCTTCGCCTACTTTTATAAATTCCTACTGTCGCCCATTCATTAAATGATTTGCGACTGTTAAAAGAGAAAGTTTTAGAAGTAAATATTCTACTAAATTCACAACGTATAATTTCAAATAATGTAGCATACAAATAATTAGCACTATTTTTAAACGAAAGTGATGGAAGTCTTTTTATTATATTACTTCTAAACCTCTCCAAGCGATGTTCATTTATTGGAACAAACACAACTTTCTTATTTTTCTGTTTTTTGTGTATGTAAGGTAGTGATACTAACTGTCCACAGTGATCTGAACTTAAATTTTGAATAATTGATTTATGCAAGGGCTTAACATCTGTAAAAATGTTATCTATACAGGTCGCACTAGGCCCAGCAATACGTGTTGGTTCTAAGAATAAATTTACAAGATTATACGATTTAAACAATGAGCTAAACTTAATACTAATGGAAGAAGTTTCAAGGAGATTGATATTAAAGTCTCCACACATTACAACAGACTTGTTCTGTTTACTAAGTTTGAGTAAAAATTCTTCCACAATCCTTTCAAAATCGAGAACACCTAATACCCGAGATACAATAAAATGAACATTACAAAAAATATAGGTTCGATCAGCACTTCGTTCTTAGCAAGATGCTGACCACTAGATTATATCTAGTTTCCCCCGAACGAGTTCCCGCCTTGTCATGGCGGCTTAGTAGCCGTGGCTTGGTCACCCGTGGTAAACAAAGAGGAACCCCTTGGCTGGCCCGTAGTGTAGGGCCGGCCCCATTGGCCACTCCGAATGGGCTTGGCGAGCCCACTTCGGATGTGTGTGCCCATATCGTCTGCAGCGAGAGTGATGCCCTCTCACCCCTACCGCTGCAGACGAGGTAGAGTCGTGAGTTAAGAGGAGTGTTGGTATGGCGATGCGCCATTCGCCCTATCCTCTGCGACTCTGACGGGACCGCATCGTTGATGTGGTGGTGGTGGGGCTGTGGGAGAATAGAAGGGTCGGTATTACGAGGTGCCGCTCTCTCTACCCTTCGCTGTCGAATCTTGGTTGGCAGCGGAGCCAAAGACCAGATGCACCGCTGGGGTAGGGAAAGCGGGTGCTACTGAGTGCTCGATTTTTCTGGCCCCATGTCCTCCGCGTATCGGACTCGGGAGGCCGTGGACGAAGGCGTGCCTTGTGTTACTGATGCGACTTACCTAAGGTGGAGAGTGGGGAGGAGAAGTCCTCCCCCGAGAAGGAGTTGCCATGGGGGGCCAGCGCTGGTGGGGCCGCGGATGTGTGCGAAAGCATTCCCGTGGCTCTGCCAATATGTGGCGAGGGTGGAACACCATGGGGTTTTAGTCGGTGCGAGTCTGACAACCCATCCTTGCCTCCGTTAGGCTGGTAAGCGTAGGCATTCCCCATGTAAAAAAAATATTATATCTAGTTCACAATTAACAGTTAGTTATAACAATTAAAATTGTAGCTGAGAACTAATTGATGAGTAAGGATTTTTTTACGTATATATTGTGAGGCTAGCTACACGACTCTCCATTTGCTTACTTGATGTTTACAAGTCCATAACATTGATTGTGATGGGAGTGTTGTGGTTTTTGTTTGTGATACTAGCAGCTGGGAAAGCGCTGGAGTTAACAAGTAAGTTAGATTTTTCGTAATGTTTTAACTTTGTAATCCTATATAAATATATAGGATAACAAAGTCAAATTTGCAGTGAATTAATCAGTGTACCTGTATATGTATAATATAAAGGAATAATAGGTGTAGATAGGTACCAAGATATATATATGTTCAAAGTTAACTTGTAAAATGGTCAACGGAATGAAAAAGCAAGAATGGGACATGTCTTATGAAGTTGTATCAAAATCCGCTAAAGTATTAAGTACACTAAATTAAGTAAACTACAAAAAGAAATGAAATGCCATCAACAATATTATACACTAAAGCAGCATAGCACTAAATAATCTAATTTAATATAATATGTATTACTGTTGAGATACATTGTGTTGTCATGCGATGGTCAAAGCAATCTATTTATTTAAAACATAAAAGATTTTTAATATTGATGTGGTCACTATAAGATATTGTTAGCTAATTACGTAATAACTTGAGCCAGAAGGACCCTTAAGTACTGTGCTGAAGGTACTGAATAAATTAACCGACATGGATCTCACAACTTTTTACGGTAGAATAACTAAGTTGCGAGACTTGGTTTTTATTACAAGTTATGTTTTTGATGGCATAATTATTACTCATAGAGGGAATAAATATACCAATCTAAACTTTATTTGTATTTATGTAGTTGTTAAAATATATTAACAATAAAAACATTGTGATGTAGGGCTAGAATATTAATCAAAATAAAAATTTAAGTTGTGTTTTTTTTAAAATAGCACCTATCTATCATATATATTCAAGGCCAAAAAGGAAGATGTTTTACTCGAATTAAAGTCTTACTGCTGAGCTAATCTTCAAATATCTGAGAGGTTTCTTGTTTTGGAGCACGGAAGAATTTATCGTGGTGCATTTATGCTTTTTTATTAATTTTATATTAATTTTTTAAATTTTGATTTGTTCAGAGTGTTTTTTTCAACACCTCGTGGATGGTGAATCAAGTTTTAAAAGTGCTATTTACAATTTCATTGGTTTCAGCGAGAATCAAAGTTATGTTTTTCGCGTACTATATGTCGGCACTTACATATTTCCTGAGCTATCACGGCACTCCATCCGTTATTGATCTATAAATTTAATAATTTTCCTATAATACCTATAGTCTCGATTATTGAAAACCTGTAACTTACATCCTGATTTATAGGTTCTTTAGATAATGTATCAATCGTGTCGAAATTTTTATCTTTTATTTTAAGAACTTATGAAAATACCTCAGATATCTCTTTAAATACAAAATATTGTGACTTTTTCTTTTAATTATTAATAACCTATTTTTTACAACTCTTGTAGAATTCTTTTTATAGATCATCCTGTTCTTGAATATAAAAAAAATATTGAAGTGAACCATATTTCGACAGATACTTTTATATTGAGTATGCATTAAATAATTTAAATTTCGGAATTTAAATTGTATAACAATTATTTTTTCATTTGCATTAATTTATGAATAATATTTATTTTTAAAATTATTAAAATATTGTACTTAACTGATGTATATTTTTATTTACTAAAAGAAATCTTAAAAGTAGATACTCGTAAATACTACATTTTGGCATCTCTATAATCCGTTGTTGTATGAGTTATACGCATGTCCTACCAGTTCATACCGAATTTTTTAATAATTTAAATGTTTCTCGTACAAAACTACGCATTAAACAGAAATTATACATTGCTCTATGATTAAGTGTTATTTACGTAAGATTTTCTCACAAAAACAATTTATTAAGTCGGTTAAAAACAGTTTTTTTTTAATATATCTACTTATCCACCCGGTGGTAAGTGGTTGCTGTGGCCCATAGACATTTACATCTATCCTCGATTGAGAATCAAAATGCAGATGCGTTGTCACTTCTGAGGACTAAGATGGAATGCCTCGTTTCCAGTAAAAAGGATTTCCGGTTCTCTACACTCAACATACGAAACACAGCACCATTTACGCTGGTATTCTGTAAGAGCGTGGTCCTACTCCGGACAAGCCGACCCATTCATAATACAAACATAATATAGCTGCAGCATGGCTCTACCGCGTAAAAATATATTGCATTTATTTATTATTATTGAGGTAAATAAATTGTAACTCAATGTAACGCTAAACCCGTGTTATAAGTACTTAAGTTTTCAATCTTAGAATATGTTTGCAGCGAGCGCTTTAACCCAGCTGCTTGAACAATTTTATAAATTATCATTGAAGTTTATTGCTCAAGTTTTGTTTTAGGAATACAACAAGACGTTTTTTTTATAGAATAAGAGTGACAAACGAGCACACAGTCCACCTGATGGTAAGTGGTTGCTGTAACATATAGACACCTATTCACAATAAAGAATCAAAATGTAGATGCGTTGTCACTCCTGAGGACTAAGATGGAATACCTCGTTTTCAGTAAAAAAGGCTTTCGGTTCTCTACACTCACCATTCGAAATACAGGAGCTGCTATTTTACGCTGGTATTCTGTGAGAGTGTGCCCCGGTCGAGCCGACCGATTCGTGCTACAACAATTATATTTATAGCTGCACCGTGGCTCTACCACGTATAAAGTTGAAATATTATGATAAAGTTAAAATATTTTATTAAACAAAAACTGTATAAAATGGGTTATTATAATATAAATGAATACAGGGTTGTTAATAGCCCCTGGGAATGATGCGGTCGCTACCACAGATTACTTAATAGTTTACTAAATCGCTACCAAGCTAGTATTGTAAGTCCTAGTTTGTACAACCTGTGTTGAATTGTATAATATTACTTTGAAAAAAAGTCCCGCTGGGTTTTTTATGGTTCTTACCAGACCAAAGGTTTTTTTCCCAAACCATTGGTAAAAGTGAAACAACGACTCGTTAATTAGAATTACTTGTAATCTGTATTGAATAAAAATTATTCTATTTTATTCCATTTTAAAGGGACAAATTAAAAATAAACTATTTTAAAATAGTTTTTTTTTCACATATTATAACTACACAAAGATTGATTGATGCGAAACAAAGTTTTATTTCAACAACAAAAGTGCGCGTGTAATTCCGCCATTTTATTTTAAGTATGTGCCTACCTACCATAGAATAAATCATTTATTTAATATACAATATGATTTCTTCACAGTCTATAGTTTACTTAATTACATAAAGAAGGCCTCCCACATACTCGTAGCTTACCCTATAGGGAATATTTTCCATAGTTGCCGCGTATGGCAGGTGGGTTGGTACCCGAAGTATTTTGTTATTTTGATTTAGTATCAGGAAAAAAAAGAAGGCAAAATTACTACTTTAAGTTATCATACACCTGAGAAAATCCAGTTTAGACTAATTTAGTTTTATGACAAAATTAACATTAACTTTTTTTCTTTTTTTTTACATGGGGAAATGCCTCCGCATACCCATCTCGCGTGGGCAAGAACGGGTTATGTCGGACTCGCACCGACTAAAGCCCCATGGTGTTCCACCCTCGTCGCATATTGGCAGGGCCACGGGAACGCTTTCGCACACTTCCGCGGCCCCACCTGCACTGGCCACCCCATGGCGGCCCCTCCTCGGGAGAGGACCACTCCTCCCCTATCTCCTTCTTCGGTAAGGCGCACCAGAACACATGGCGCGCCCTCCTCCTCGGCCTCCAAATTCACATGCGCAACAGACGCCCCCGTGTCCGATGCGCGAAGGCCATGGGGCCAGGAAAAACTAGCACTCAGAAGCACCAGCCTTCCTGACCCCAGCGGCGGATCTGGTCTATGGCTCCGCTGCCAACCAAGATTCGGCTGCGGAGGGTAGGGAGAGCTGCGCCTCGCAATACCGACACTCCTTTCCCCCCGCAGCCCCACCACCACCGCATCATTTAACGGTGCGGCCCCGTCAGAGTCGCCGGAGGATAGGGTGAGTGGCGCATCGCCATACCAGCACTCCTCTTCCTCCGCGACTCCACATCGGCTGCAGCGGTAGAGGTAGCGGACACCCCTCTATCCGCAGCCAACCAACACACATCCGAAGCGGGCTCGTCAAGCCCGCTCGGAGAGGCCACCTCGGGCTGGCCCTACACCTCGAGCCAGCCAAGAGGTTCCTCTTTGTTCACCGCGGTTGAACAAGCCACGGCTACTAAGCCCCCCCGCCACGACAAGGCAGGAACCCTTTCGGGGGGGAAATTAACCTAACCTAACCTAACCTAACCTTTTTTTTACTTTGCCTACGCACACCCGCCTCGCGGGGGCAAGGACGGGTTATGTCGGTCTCGAACCGACTGAAACCCCATGGTATTCTACGTTCGCTGCCACGGGAACGCTTTAGTACACATTCGCAGCGCGCCTTCCTCCGCGGGCTCTTACTTCACGTGCGTAACGGACTCCCCGGAATCCGATACGCGGAAGCCATGGGGCTAGGAAAAAACGAGCGCTCCGAAGCACGCGTTTACCTGACCCCAGCGTCGGATCTGGCCCGTGGCTCCATCGTCAACCAAGTTTCGGCCGCGGAGGGTAGGGAGAGCGGTGCCTCGCAAAACCGACACTCGTCTCCTCACACGGAACCACCATCACCGCATCAACGGTGCGGCCGCGCCAAAGTCACGGAGGATAGGGCGAGTGGCGTATCGCGATACCAACACTCCTCTTCCCCTTCCCCCGCGACTCCACCTCGTCTGCAGCGGTAGGAGAGAGGCCACCTCTCTCGCTGCAGTCCACCAACACACATCCGAAGTGGGCTCGCCAAGCCCACTCAGAGTGGCCACCTCGGGTTCATCTTCGTACTAAGACCTTCACCAGGTTAAGGGGGAACCCGTTCTTTTTTTTTTCTTTATAGGATCGGGTGACAAACGAGCACACAGTCCAGCCGATGGCAAGCGGCTACTGTGACCCATAGACATCTACATCTATCCTCAATAAAGACTCAAGATGCAGATGCGTTGTCACCCGTGAGGACCAAGATGGTATGCCTCTTTGCCAGTAAAAAGGGTCTCCAGTTCTCTACACTCACCATACGAAACACAGCAGCGTTAAGCTGCTATTTTACGCTGGTTTTCTGTGAGAGCGTGGTCCTTCCCCGTTCGAGCCGACCCATTCGTGCTACAACCATAATATAGCTGCAGCATGGCTCTACCACTTAGAAACAAAACCGTTCGGGGGGAACCTAACCTAAACTAACCTAAGCTTAAATTTTATCATAAACCTAAAGAAGTTCAAGTTTTTGATCTAAAAACAGGATTAAAAAAGAGGTTAATGATAATAATAAGTAATAACTTTGTCTTCTTCCGGTTTTTGATCAAAAACCTGATTTTAGTATAAACATGCAACATACATATATACATGGATTTTCTAACGCCGCAACTGCATAGCACAGCAAAACAATTATTGTTCTGTTTAACCTTGTACTCGTATTCACATATTTTGTGACCATAATGTACAAATTTTATGTTGTGTTTTACCTGTAACTGTTTTATAAATTAAATCTTTCGGAGGCCTCTTACGCCACCAAATTATTTATTTATATGCTCTTATCTTTTAGATGAACAGTATCATCAGATGCCACAGCTGTTTCAGCTGGACGACTACGAGAGGTGCCTTGCGAATCGACGTGGTGCCTTCTGCCTGGGTAGCTTCAACCTTGTAGCACCGCCTTATAATCACTTGTTTGATATTATACTGGTAACTATCTTATATTTAAAAGTATAATTACATCCTAAATATGTCACACCGCTTGGCAGACTTAGAACTTTAAGAAGACATAGCAAACAAATTAAAAATCAAGTTACATCTTGAAACTACTAGGTTTTCATGAAATGTTCTGGATATAAAAATTTTTTCAGACATGCAGGTTTCCTCATGATGTTTTTGTTCAGAACCAAACACATGGAAAATCAGTACTTAAAAAATTTCATTATATGCCTTCGAGAATCAAATTCTTGCTGCTGTCTTAATATGAAATGTACGCGCTTGACCCGTAAGATAGCAATACCTATATAATTTCTTAAAGACTTATTTGAATATAATATTATGACTAGATGCTTAGATCTATGGTTTAGATGTTAAAAACTCACATGTGCAATGCTTGAAGAGTATGATAACGACACTGAGTCCCCGTCCATGCCGCTAAATGGGGATATAAGTGTGTATCTGCTCTGTCATCGCACCACAAGCGTGAACGAACCGAAGCTATAGAAGTTTTCTAACGACTGAACATATTATATAATAAAACCTCAATGTTCCGTATTTCGGAACATTGGTCCCTCACCGGGATGATACCCGGCTGCAAATCTCCCATTTTCTTTCACGACCAAAGTGGTAACCCTACGTGATATGAACAATGCAACGTGCGACTTTACATTCCTTTTTTTTCTGGTTGCTTTTAATATTTGAAACTTCAATTGGTTTTTTTGTTTTACAATTAAATAATTACAATTTTTCCTCATTGACCTTTTTACAAAGGTAAGGGTAACAAACGAACATACAGTCTTGATAGTAAATGGATGCTATTACTGATTAAGAATCAACATGCAGATGCGTTGTCACCTAATGGGACTTAAGTTAGAACGCCTTGTTACTATTACAAGGGTCTTCGATTCTCGTCACACACAACATTAGAATTGTGATGCTATTTCACGCTGGTACTCTGTGCGACCGGGGCCTTTACACGGTTGAGCTACAACGTAGCTCTATAAAAACATATAACATAACATAAACACTCACGCCCGTCACCCAGAGGGGTAGGCAGAGACTACGGACTTCCATTTGGCGCGATCCTGACACACCTCTCTCGCCTCTTTTACATCCATATATCTATGCATACACGCTCGTCGGTTAAGGGTACTCCTAATCTGGCCCATTTTTAATGTATCGCCGATTTGGTCGATAAATCTTCGTCTAGGGCGTCCCTTCCCAACCCTGCCGTTCACTTCTGCAACATAAATTTGTTTTGTCACTCTTTCCTCGTTCATTTTTTCTACATGACCAAACCACCGAAGCATTCCTTTCTTAATCCTTGTCACAACGTCATCATGCAAACCACACTTTTCTCTTATCACACTATTTCTCACCCTGTCATTCAGATTCAGCCCTAGCATACTCCTTAAGGAACGCATTTCTACAGCATTTATTCTACTCTCATGCTTCTCCTGCCAGACCCAACTTTCACTACCATACATTAAAGTAGGGACTAACACAGCATTATGAATTGCCATACGTGCCTTAGTTGACACATTCTGACTCCTCATAATAGCGTGTAGAGCCCAATTCACTCTATTTCCTGCGTTAACTCGTCGTTCTATATCCTTATAATATCTACCATCTCTGCTAAATAAACATCCCAAATATACAAATTCATCCACTTGCTCAATCAACTCCCCTTCTATTCTTATTTCACATAAAGTTTTACTTTCTTCTCTTTCAAAAACCATCACTTTCGTCTTACTTGCGTTCACTTTCATACCCCTTTCTTTCAATGACCAATTCTATAAAGTAACCATCATTTGCAACTCGGCCGCCGACGATGCAAATATGACTTGATCATCGGCGTACAAAAGGCATTTGACGGTTGACTCACCCATTCTCAACCCACATTCTTCAACTTTCAAAGTTTGCAAACAACTGTCCATAAATAGGTTAAACAGCCACGGGGAAGCCACACATCCCTGTCTGACACCTTTATGAATACCAAACCAGTCCGAGTAGACCCCGTTGATCCTAACACAAGCACTAGAGTCCCTATAAAGAGACCTTAATGCCTGTATCAAGCCAGCGCTCAACCCAAATGAGTTCAGTGTTTGCCATAACACATTCCTGTCCAATCTGTCATAAGCCTTTTCCAAGTCCATGAACGCACAAAAAACTTTCTGGTTTTTGGCCAAAAACTTCTCCGCTATCATGCGCATGGAAAAGACTTGATACGTACACCCCATCCCCTTTCTAAATCCAGCTTGCACATCCCAAATTTTTCCATCAGTTTCTTCCATAACTCTTTCAATTAACACCTTAGCATACAGTTTACCCACAATGCTAAGCAAGCTGATACCACGGTAGTTTTTACAGTCCTGCTGCGACCCCTTTCCCTTATATATTGGGTCTATAACGGCTTTGCACCAGTCTTCCGGTACCCGCTTCAGTTCCCAACATAAATTAAACAAGGTGTACAGCAGGCCTGCAACCACACCCTCACCAGCCCTTAGCATTTCGAGTGATACTCTATCATATCCGGCTGCCTTACCTGCTTCCATGCTTTTCATTGCTTTCATTATTTCATCTACACTTATCTCCCTACCTCTTTCCACTTCTTCCGGAATTTCTAATTCACTTATTGCAGACGACTCTTCACTCTTAAACACGCTTTCAAAGTATTCCTTCCATCTCTTTAAATTCGAAACTTCATCATTCAACATGCAGCCATTCTCGTCTCGTATAGCATTCATTCTAGGCTGTTTTGAATTTCCCCTGGCAGTTCTTACGAGTTTCCAGAACATTTTAATATTTTCCTGGAAGTTATCAGATATCCTTCTATCATTTTTATCTATCCTTTCTTGCTTTTTCCTTTCAACAACTTCTTTTACTCTCTTATTTATACGTGTAAAGTCTGCCTTTTTTCTTTCAATCTCATCATTCATACCGCCAGAATGACCAGCTTTAGTTGCTAGTAAATCTAGCCATGCTCTCTTCTTTGCTTCAACTTCCATCCGTACCTCATCATCCCACCACAACGTATTACTTTTCCTTTCATTCGTTCTCTTACTTACACCACATACTTCGGTGGCTGCATCCACCAAAACTTTCTTAATATTATTCCATACATTCTTCAATTCTAAATCATTCATACATAATTCGTTCAACCCACTTATATTTTCCCTCAGTCTGCATTTATACTTCTCTTTCACACCTTCATCTTGTAACCTCTCTATTCTTATACGCTGTAACGCAGTGGTAGACACAGATGTCCGATGCCGCTAACGTCTGAATAGACCATTAATTCGGCATAAGACCAAGTAATGATCCGTCCCTACGTTGGTCCCCCGGTAAACCCTTGTATCTACCACTGCGCTCCTCATTCTTTCATTCACAATTATTAAATCTATCATGCTTCTATCATCCCCTCTTTCCCATGTATACATGTGAATCCTCTTATGGCGAAAGAAAGTGTTCGCCACAAAAAATTCTTTTACATACGGTGAGGAGGTCTTCACCATTCACATTTATTCTTTCATCGCCAAACGTTCCTAATATCCTTTCATAACCAGACCTCTTCACCCCAACCCTTCCATTAAAATCTCCTAACATAATAATATTTTCATTTTCCTTACGTAGCTCTATAAGATTAAAAAATAATGAAAATATTGAAACTGACAATTATTTTGCAATAATTAATCATCAACGACATGAAAACCGCGTATAATTGGCTAATTTTGACTAACTTTAAGTAATTATGCCTTCAGGTCTGTTTATGTTCACGTAGAGTTTATGAATAAATAAATTAAAATTCGTAATTCTATTGTATTGTTAGATTCCAGTTCCGGTGTTATAATAAGTCAGATGATTTGATTAATGTTCTGAAATATTAAGTAAAAAACGGTGAGAAATAATAATCACTTCCACAATAGTGCCGTTCTGAACATTTTTAAAACGTATGAGCATCGTTATACAGTGAACATAAAAATAAAAAGTCCTAAAAGTAATAAGTCAACCAATGAATAGAATGGTGGGGGCTAATGACATTAAGCTAATGGGAATTGGTACGGCGAGATTGTGTGATAGTTCATCTCGATCAATTCGAGTATTCGGACACTCGAATTGATGGCCTCATTCGGATGAAGCCTTCGTCCACGAGACCATGAAACCAGTCGAAACAATTATCATAATGTGACTGCCTCGTTGCACCTTCGTTAAGAGATCGTAAACGCGACTGCGAACATGTGGTTTAGGATTTAAATCACTGGGTTTTGCCAAAATATTAGTTTTTGGGATTATCTGCAATGGAATTCTCCCGAAGTCAGAACGGAAGGCACGTGAAGCCAATGGTCCTGCGCCTATTATCTCTCCGGTCGTATCGGATAACTGTTCCATTGGACTTTCAGAGTAAGGGAATAGTGAAATAGGGAAGCTGCCCAAGTGTCCTTGCGCATATACTGGGGCAACTTAATCCTGTTCTGCGCTGATGGATAGTCTCCATTGAATCTGGTTGCTGTGACCGAAATTTGGTCTGGAGGTCATTATGTTATTAAGTAAACGTTTCTCATTTTATACGTTTCATTGATCGAAGTCGACGAAGGACATAGATATTCTTCTTTATAATCAGCCTGTAAACTACAGCTGAGCGTGGATTGGCTTCTAACTTTGTGAGGAGGAAATGCCTTATTCATCACGCTAGATAGGCGGATTGACAGTACCAGACTTCATGCAATTTTGACGCTGCTACCCGTCGCTGGCTTAAGTATATCTATATCTTAGTACTGCGACCACCAAGCGTATTTCTTATGGTAAACCCTTCCCTCAATGGGAGAGACTCATGTACAGACTGTTACGGACAGACGAAGAAGGAGTATTCAACTGACTTTACGTGGTAGAGCCATGCTGCAGCTATATTAATAGTATAGTTGTAGCGCGAATGGGTCGGCTCAACCGGAGAAGAACCACGCTCTCACAGAATACCAGCGTAAAATAGCAGCGTAATGCTGCTGTGTTTCGTATGGTGAGTGTAGAGAACCGAAGACCCATTTTACTGGAAAAGAGGCATTCTATCTTAGTCCTCATGGCTGACAACGCATCTGCGTTTTTATTCGTAAACTAAGATAGATGTAGATGCCTATGGGCCACAGCAACCACTTACCATCAGGTGAACTGTGTGCTCGTTTGTCACCATTATTCTATAAAAAAAAAACTTACATTATTACAGAAATTCTCTGAAGCACGCTATAACTTCAATCACACACGTATCCACCGGGGCTACTGCGTTTCATCAAGATGTTCAGACATCGACGAGGTTTCTCTAAACAGAAAGTTCGTGAAGTGCGTCAAAAATATTACCCAAACGCATTATGGCTTCGATGCAAAACTTTCAACCCTCGACTACTGCAAGACAAGTAAAACACCGCCATCGAGACCAATCGACGGTCTTGACATAGCGTTCATTTATTTCTGCGGAGTTATACTGTTAATGAATGTGATTGGAACTATTTACGACTTCACACGCAACCCTGACCACAAACGTGAGTAACATGGCCATTAAATTATTCATAAACAATAGACGGAATATAAAATTAGAGCTTCTATCTAAAGAACAATGGCCTAACTTAGTGAAGAGAGAGCGTTTTCTGGGATTTCATCAAAATACATTATCATTGATATATTATAGGTATCTAGTATTATTTGAATTGGCCGAGCGAATTCTGTTGTTTTACAGTCAGCAGTCAGCTCAGAAAAAGGATTATATTTTTATTATCAAGCCCGCTGTAACCAAAAAAGCTTGTCGATTTTAAAGTACGAGATATTATCACATTTGTATTTAACTCTAGTAATGTGAGCTACGTTTTTTTTTTGTATAAAAGACTTGTGTATTAATAAAAGTTCCTTACAAAATACCTTTTTGTTAATAGTTAGGAAAATTATAGTAGACCATCATCACTATTAAAGTCTATCAAAATTCTACTATTGAATACTGCCTGTATATCTACACCCACGAGTCGATATAGGGTAGTATATATTCTTACTCAGCTAGTACAGTAGACGGGGTCAGAACATCTTGAGGGAAGCCAGTTTACTAAGCAGCGCGTCCACTGCGCGACGCTGCTCTTATGATAAAATAGATACTTTTCAAATATAATGAGGTAACAGTAAAAGTAAATATTGATTGTTTTTTCTAGTGACAGATGGTAAGTAGATGCTATGGTCCATATTGTATATCTACATCAATCCCCAATCAAGAATCAAAATGCAGATGCGGTGTCACCCCTGAGGACTTACATGGAATGCCTCGTTTCCAGTAAAAAAGGTCTCCGGTTCTCTCACTATACGAAACACAGCAGCATTAATCTGTTATTTTACGATGGTATTCCGTGGGAGCGTGGACCTACACTGGTCGTGCGATCCTTTCGCTTCGTCCTAGTGAGTAAAAAACGTGTTTTTAGATTGTGTTGTGATCAGTTCACCTCTAAAAACTCTATCCAATTTATTAAAAAAATTATACCTAAATCAGTGGGCATAAAGTTCTATAACCTGCTAATATTGCCGTTATTTTGATGTTTTTGCCTCCATAAGTCCTCTCTTTGTCTATAATAAACTTTGTTTTGTTACAGCGAACCGGTGTTTATTAACTTGGTCTTTAGCTGAGAGCTGGAAACGACTGACAAATCCGTATGAAAATGGAGACCCTAGGCTTACGTCTTTGAATCCTATCAATGGAATGAAGTAAGTTCTTTTTTTATAGAATAAGTGTGACAAACGAGCACACAGTCTACCTGATGGTATGTGGTTGCTATGGCCCATAGACATCTACATCTATATTCGCTTGCGAATTGAAATGCAGATGGGTTGTTAGCCGTGACGACTAAGATAGAATGCCTCTTTTCCAATAAAATGTGTCTCCGGTTCTCTACACTCACCATACGAAACACGGCAGCATTAAGCTGCCATTTTACGCTGGTATTCTGTGAGAGCGTGGTCCTTCCCCGGTCGAGCCGACCCATTCGCGCAACAATTATACTATTAACATAGCTGCGGCATGGCTCTACTACGTAAAAACTATATTTGAGGTATGTTTAAAGATTATGCGGTTTGTTTCTAAGAAGGATAGCTTCTACTTAGCCTGGGAGTATATACGTTTTGTTGTAGTTCAATTAGATATCACGCTCTACAAATTGTTATCGCTAATTCACCTGCCAAGCGTGGCGACTAACGTACATTCTCCCAACTACACATAAGTCTCATGTCCAACTGTGGACAATTTAGGGATGATGTTGATACAATAGTGGAGCTACTGTCGAGTTTCGATTTATAAGAGAGGAAGAAGTTACTATGTGTATTGACGATGCTCACGTTGGTTCTCGAACACGTATTAGAGAAGCCATTCTAAACAAAAAATGTGCACATGTGGTGATAGTAGAGTAGCGCATGCGCAGTTGATTTAAGCGCGTTGCGCGGTCATTTTTAAATTTAAACTTTAATTTGAAATCTTGTCTTATTAGCGCCGCTCCACACTGCATGTATATTGAACCACAGACTAACTAGTAGATTGAAACCATACTAAATGACACACTGTACGGATTGCTGTACAGTTCAGTTGAACATAGTGTATGTTCGGAATGCGAAATCTAGTCCGTTGCTGTCGCACGGATGGGCCGGCTCGAACCGGGGTAGTACCACGACCTCACAGAAAACCAGCGTGAAGTAGATGTTTACCTCTGCGTTTCGTTTGGTGAGTGCAGGTGGTCGGAGGCCCTTTTTACTGGAAATGTAAAAAGGGCCTTCCATCTTAGTCCTCACGGGTGATAACGCATCTACATTTTGATTTGTAACAGAGGATAGATGTAGATGTCTATGGGCCGCAGCAACCACTTACCATCAGGTGGACTGTGTGCTCGTTTGTCACCCTTATCCTATAAAAAAATAGTACGTAGTACACATATATCGATGGTTTTAGTATATTTTTCTCCCAGACGACACCAGCGACCTACATCATCAACAATGTGGTAGACCTCCTTTTCTACCTAAGTGTCTGTTGGGCTCCAAAAAGCAGTAATTGCGCTGCTGTGTTCTGGTTTGAAAGGCATATAGCTATAGAGAGTCATTATAATGACAGGCTGAGCGGCATTCCATCTCGGTCTTCAGAGGTGACAACGCATCTGAAGTCTTCTTTGTTTGAACTTAGCAGCAGGTGCCCATAGATTTCTGTAGCCACCTATCATCAGGTGGACCGTAAGTTCATCAGTCAGTTCAGTTTAAAAAAAAAACTTGTCTTACTCCGTAGCACTATCATAAAAGAGCATGATTATTATGCACGTCGGACGTCCCGCCCCGCTGCGTGAAATGTGTAGTGTCTTAATGTAGACACAGTATAATTAATTTGAAACTAAGCATAGCACTAATTTTACATAAGTGCAGTTTTTAGATTTGTATCCTTAATCTGATGATTTTGATTATATATAATAACCATGCCCCGCTCAAACGCGTAAAAATAAAGTGTAACCTTGCGCAATGAATGCGTAGTTTAAGAGAGCTAATAAATAGGTCGGACGGACAAAGCTAAGCTAAGATATAAATATGTTACTCATCTAAATATAACTTAACTCGTTTCAAAGTCTTACGAAACCGTTGCAGTTGTCTGTGTCGGAATGCTAAAAGGCGCTACTTTTATAACTCTTTCAATTATCGAAATTCTACTGAGACTTTTTAACAGTGGTAGAGCCACGCGGCAACTTTTGCTGTCGCACGGATGGGCCGGCTCGAACCGGGGTGGTACCACGACCTCACAGAAAACCAGCGTGAAGTAGAGGTTTACCTCTGCGTTTCGCTTGGTGAGTGCAGGTGGCCGGAGGCCTTTTTTACTGGAAATGAGGTATTCCATCTTAGTCCTCACGGGTGACAACGCATCTACATTTTGATTTGTAACAGAGGATAGATGTAGATGTCTATGGGCCGCAGCAACCACTTACCATCAGGTGGACTGTGTGCTCGTTTGTCACCCTTATCCTATAAAAAAAAAAAAAAAAAAAATATGGAAAATCCTTCATTTTGATCTTGATCTTAGAACGCAAAAACATTAAGGTGAATGATCTAAAAATAAACATTTTGTTACTCCTATGACTTTAGATCCCTGCATCAAGACAAATACTTTACTAACACTGTCGAGTATAACAAAGCCATGCTTTTTCCCTTTTCACATTTCCCTTGTGATGGAGGAAGATACCAAAAGTAAATGTAAGACATTTCTTCAACTGCTATTGGTAATGACGAACTATGTTCGATAAGAATTTAGCCAGTTATTCCTTTATTACTCCCAATCCTAACTGACATATTTAATTTCTCAATATCCTCCTCATCTTTTTCCTTGGTTTGGAAACAATCATATATTAGTCTTTCTAAGGTTTGTAATCCTTCTTCCCTATCCCACTTTCGGTCAACCCTGTCTTTCAAAAGTTCTCGAGCACATTATCCACAAGCATCTCATCAGGCAACTCTCTCATTCCTTATCTTCTAAATACTTGCTTTCTATATATAATATTAGTCGGGTTTTGTCCCGGTCACAAGAATGTCACTGCTTTACTTAAAGTAACTGATTATATCCGTTGGGCCATGGACAAAATCTCTAAATTTCTAGTCTTGCTTGACTTTAACAGTACTTTTACCTCACTAGAGTTTGATAATCTTCTTCGGATCTGTCAATCTCCTCATTTCCACTCTCCACATTTCCTCACCATTGCGTGATTTGATTTATATCTTCAAGGTCCGTCGCACTGTGTCCGGTTTATTGACACCCGTTTTGGTTGGTCTGGTATGGGCGTAGCTCAGGGTTGCGTTCTTTCACCTCTTTCATTTTCTATTTTCATCAATTTTTTAAGAGAGTTATCATATCTAACTTCCACCTTTACGCGTATGAGCTACAGCTGTATCTTTATTTTACGGTGTGTGATACAAATAATGAAATTGAATCCATGAATGATGACCTGAGACGTATTTGTAAATGGTTTGCATTCTTTGGACTCTTAGTTAATCCTACCAAATCGCAAGCCATCATAATAGGCAGCAGACATTTGCGGAATTAATTAGAACTTTCATCACCTCCCGTTTGATTTAACGGCGTTTCTCTATAGACCTAATTTTTGATCACTCTCATTCAACTTCTTTTTGTTTATGCTGACGCCTGTTATTTGGACACTACAGAGATCTAATTATATGTCGTTATGTTATTTATCGTATAATTTATATAATATTATGTATATTATTTATTCATTAGTAGTGTACGCACTAAGTTTGCCTTCGTTAATATATTTTCCTTTCCGGTTCCTTATCGGTCTACATGTACCTGGAACATATTTCAGTTTATTACTTTACACTGTTTATTACATAAATATGTAATAAGCAGTGTGACTGTTTCTGTGACTTGTTTTGTATACATAAATATATATATAAAAAATTTCATTACTCTTTATACGACAAATTACAGAGTAGATGTAGATGTTTATGGAACAGAGCATCCACTTAACATCAGATGGACTGTTGCTAGTTGGTCACGCTTATTCATAGATATTATAAAAAATAGCATCATAAAGTTTCCTGATGTAATGTGAATGAGTGAACCGACCCTTGTTACTGGTAAAGTGGTATTCTTTAGCCCTTAGAGTGAAGTTACAAAGCATATACAAGCCACATTATCGAACTTCCATAAAAAACATCCACAAAACCAAAAAAAAACTAAGAACCAACCAGTGAAAAGCAATGGCTGGTGCCTTAAATACATTTTACTTATCACATAGATAATTAAAATATCCAAAGAGAAGATGTAAGCAAGAACAAAAGTGAGGTGCAGCGCAGATCTACACATACTGCATTGAGGAAGCTTGTTGACGTTATCGAAACCACATATTATCTTACTGACTTTTATCTCTTAGTGCACTTAATCTAAGTCTACTACTATCAGTATCTACATAATATAGCATGATAGTAAAACAGTTAAAAAAACAAACAAACAAACAAAACAAACAATCAGATAGACAAATGGTATAAGGTAAGGTCAACTATTTCCGCGGTATTTTTACCAAAACTCGAAAGGAGATCAAAAATTAAGCATTTATTGTATCTTTTTGAAGGTTTAGCTATTTTACAGAACTATTATCATTTCTACATTTGAAATAAAAAAAATCAATTTTTATTTAAATAAAAAATATAAGAAAATAAGCAATATATTTGGCTATATTTTGATGTGTATTCTAAATTAATTAATTATGAAAAGAAGTCGGAGGCACCTTATTCCGATGTAAAAATCCTTATTCCAATGTATTTGGTTCCTATTTCCGAGTGTAGAAAATGCAAAGGAAAAAGCTTGGATGAATAATACATGATGTTCTTTATCATACAACCAAAATTATTACAATTTAAAAAATATGAATAATCATCCCCGTGGATATAGCCCTGAAAAGTTTATTTTATTTTAATAATGCAATTAACTAATTGACGCTATACTTACAGCGAGAGCAATATTTCTAGAAGTATTATCTTTGCACTATTATAGGTAGGTATGTGAAAATTTTTGGGGATAGATGGTTTGATTGCGTAAAAAGCATCCGTCCTCATAATCAATATAAAGATTTTATACTTATGAAATAAAATGCTATTATTACCTTATATAGGTACATAGCTAATAAAAATTTTATTTTAGTAATTTTAGTACGAACAATATATGGTTCTCTCTAAAGCTAGATATTGTGTAAAATTATATTATTAAATTAATGTAGTTGAGAATTATTATCCATAAATGTTTAAACTACGTAGGTACCTAAGTTCGTGAAAGTAGTTATAAAGGAAACAGGAACCTACGGCTTATTTAAACTAAAAGAGAGTGCACAGCAAACTGCGTAAAATTGTGAACATCCTGTATTTTGCGTGTGTATATAGTATATACCGCGGAATAAGTTGTTCATAGAACCTTATCAAGATCTATATACATGGGAATAGTGTTTTATACCAAAAAATCTTGTTTTCTAATTTCAAATTTTAAAAAATGCAGGATATTTGCATGACTTTTAAACAGATTAATACTAAATTTAAAAAAATCTTCGTAAATATAATATAATTCTCGTTAACAATTACATCGCATTGTGTATGAACTTAAATTTTCCTTCTTAGCTTACCCATACAATTAATTAACATTTGACATGCTATAGTTAATAAATATAGATAATATATAGAAATAATATTATAATAGAAATATATTTTAATATTCATTGTCTTTTTAAGGCGTCAATCCCAAAGCGGGAAGTGCTAAAAAAATCAAAGATATAAATGGCTATTTCGCGCAATACATTGGAATAAGGAACCGGCTGAAATATTTGGCACCTAATGCCACAGTACTTTCAAGACGTATTTTCATCTTCATTTATTCAGGAAACATACAAAAGTTTAGTATTTTCGATTAAAAATATAATACTTGAAATAGTTTAACTCAAAGAATTACACACACTGTACAAAAATAACCAAAAATCACTATTTTATACCTTTGATGATATGAATTCGCAATATTATATTGTCAATTGAAAAAGAAATAAACACAGTTTTTCTAAATACCTCGAAGTATGGTGCCAATTTTAAAACCTCTCGGAATAAGATGCCTTTACCTTATTAACTTCCTTCTGCGTAGCATTGAAAGGAAGTTAATGGTTTTAGCTGGCAGTCTGTTAGTCAGTATGCCGACACGATAACTTCCGTTCCACTGGACCGATTGACTTTAAATTTGGTATGTGGATACCTTGAGGTAGTAGCTCGGTCGAGTTTGAATTTGGGTCCTGTAGGTCAAAGGGCACCAGAGATATGGGATTCACGCAGAAGGAAGTTGTTTTTCTTGAATTTACATTCAACTCGTTCAACAAAAGATTGCACACTTGATCGCGAAAACGTTGAATGTGCTATATTGTCGAAAGCTACCATGACGCAATGACCTCTCTTTTTATCGCGTATATCTACACAACATATAAATAAAATTGGAGTGTATGTCTGTAATATCGAGATAACTGCCTTATATTGAGCTGAGGGGGTTTATGTATTCCGTTAAGATATGAATAACTATTTTTAAATTTTTGTCTGTTTGTACTAGGGCTAATGTTGGTAATGGCTGATCCGATTGTAATTAAACTTCACGTACAGTTAGAGAGCAAGGCCAGGAGTGATCTCGGTTATATTTCATCCAAAAGAGATTATTATAAAAAATTAAAAAATTGATAAAGTAATAAACATTAATAATTATCTTATATCTTAATAAAACCATACTAAGAGATTCTGTCTCGGCGAAGCCGGAACGGGACGCTAGTTATTAATAAACCTTAATAAGTCTTTTTTTTTGAAATTTGTGTCTTTTATAAACTTTTATTTTCTATAATTCATTTATTTTATTCTTAAATTGTGATACGTTTATGTATGTGTAGAAAAAGCGATTCGATCATTGATTGTTACTGACTCATTGTTCCGTTTCTCTTGGTATAAATTATGTGCTTTAGATTTTCTAATTTTTAAATTGTTTGTACAACGCAGCATAACACATAACGTTTTGAACAACACAACTTAGTCTCTTAAAATGTATGTAGCAAATCAACTGTCAGTCGAGGTGATTACGGAAAAAGTACCTATTTTCGTCATCGGATTGTTTGGGCCTATGCTGATATTAGATTTTAGATATTAGAGATACTCCCTTGAATTATATACTCGTATATAACACATAGCTGACGTGAAGCACCAACGTTCCGGGAAGTCTGCAGTTTGTGATCATATCCTAGACGGCCCCCGCCATTACATTAGATTTGATAAACCACAAATTCTCGCGAAAGAACATCGATTCCTGCCAAGGATGATACGTGAGGCTATTGAAATTAAGAAGCATCCTAATTTCAATAGAGAGGGAGGCTGGGTACTACCACCTGCTTGGGATCCTGTAATTCATAAGATTAAAACTAAACCCAAGCATACCACTGCAAGCCTTCAAGACACAGTTAGTTCATTCTGCGTAGATCGGACCAAAATTATTATTAAAAAAGCTGAAGGTACTCATATATTATTTTGGGCCTCATAATTTTTGAAGAGTTATATTTTGCCAACGTAGGACGAACATGTAATTTTTTCCTTCATTGATATACACGAAATATTTGTTTTACGTATTTCGTGATTGATATAGTTGTATGATACCTAAACCAACATTAATCATGTCAAAATATATTCAAAAATTTTACTCTAATTTCAGAGCGATATCTATGTATCTCGTTATGCTGGCACATACTCTCATCGCATACAACATGTCATATCTTCAAAATCCTCAGTTCCTGGAGCAAGTAAGTTATTTTCTGATATTTTATAATAATTTGACAAAGGTGACCTTTTTTTAATTTTAACGAGACATTCCTTCTAATGAGGAAGCCTACCTCAGGAATGACAATGAATCAGCATTTTGATTACCATTTGAGGAATGATGATAAATGTAGGTGTTTATAGGCCACACATCAGGTATAACGTGTATTCGTCAAACTAAAAACTTTTATAAACGAAAGAAAAGGTGGAACAGAGAGTTTTTAGTTTACGAAATATAAAATTCTTTTTCTTAATTAATTTCACTATCGGACACTGGTGAGCAGTTACTGCAGCCCATGAGCTCCTACAAAGTACTTCAAACCAACATACTAATACGCTTATTTTTTGTTTACAGAATACAGACCGTAATATATTATGTTGTAATTACATTGATTTCTAAATTTTAAAACATCGTAATCGAAGATAGATGTACGTGGTAGAGCCATACTACAGCTATAGTAGTAGTAGTATAGTTGTAGCACGAATGGGTCGGCTAGACGAGGGAAGGACGACGCTCACACAGAATACCAGCGTCAAATAGCAGCTTAACACTGCTGTGTTTCGTATGGTGAGTGTAGAGAACCGGAGACCCTTTTTACTGGAAAAGAGGCATTCCATCTGTCGGGTGACAACGTATCTGCATTTTGATTCGCAAACGAGGTTAAATGTAAATGTCTATGGGCCACAGCAACCACTTACCATCAAAAAGTTATTTTAAAAATTCCCAGTTAAATTACAATTTTTACAATTTTATTGGGTTATTCTGTTTATCTACCCTAAAAAATCCACCCTTGGGTGGATACTGGGAAACGCAAGTTCATTTATCCACCCCAGACGGTGTGGAAACCGGGATTCGTATATTATTTTCACAGTCATTTATAGACACACTTTAGGGTGGATAGACGGAATAACCTATTTTATTATATATATGTTATGGGCCAAGTGATTAATTGGTTATTATTCATATCATTTTTTTATTTATACGATTGTCGTATGTTTAGCAAATTTATTTTTTAACCAGCTGTTCGACGCAACTTCGCCCGCGTGGCATTTATTACGATTGGATTTCATGGGTGTGGACTTTTTGCGCGGAACCCTAATTATTTTCTAACGTAAAAATAGCCCAAGTTACTCCTTATAAGGAGTAACTTAGGCTATTCACTATCTGCCAGCGAAAGTCTCATCAAAATCGGTCCAGTTGTTTCAGAGATTAACCGGAACAGACAGATAAACAGACAGACAGACAACAATTTTAAAAGTTGTGTTTTTGTTATAAGTACCCTATATACTTTCATATGCATTTAGTTGAAAGCTGTTATTTTGACATTACAAACAGATACTTTTATTTATTTGTATAGATAACTTTAACATTACTATCATATTGTGTTAAAAGTGATTAACATGGTTAGGTAGGTGTGGTAATCGATTCCACAAGGAAGTTGTGCGAGGAAGAAAACATTTTCTAAATCGCACAGTGGTGGACCTCCAATCATCCAGATGTTGTGGATGGTATCGGGAGTTCTGGTTTCGGTGATTTCGATAACTACATGTATTGTATTAAATGTTTATACTTACAATTTTATTTATGTACAGGCAAGTCAACACCCGCTAAGCATGCTGCTTCACAACGGGTCTGTGATCGTACAGACTTTTATATTGCTGTCCAGTTTCCTTCTCGCCTATAACCAGTTGATCGACAGTGAAAAAGACCCAAAGAAGCTTAGCCTTCGCGAACTACCACGTATTTTCTTTAATCGTATTGCAAGGTTAGTTATTAATTGGCAATATTTTTATATCTTACTATAATATTACAAGTGCAATACATTTTTAAAACAATTTTCATTCAATTTTAGTCATCTAAATAATATGAAATTTTACGTATTAATGTATTTTATGATTATGATTTAGTATTCTCACTAAGTCATAATACCGGCTATATAGTTCGAAGAACCGACAACCGATGGGGAAAAAAGGTTCTCGAGTTCCTTGGGGAAGGCCTATGTTCAGCACAGGATTTGTGAAGCGATGTAATGATGATTATGATTTTCACTAAAGTCATCACAGAATGAAATTATTTATATTAGTATTATTACTACAAATATTAGTTACAAGAACTCTCACCGACCCGCCATTTCGGCGCGGTCAGTATGTAATCAGTATGTAACGACATAGCCCAACGGATTAGTAAGCTGAAGTGGCAATGACAACCGTTGGAGAAAAAAGGATCTCGAGTGGCGGCCTCGTACCGGCGTGTGTGTAGGGCGTCCCCCCACTAGATGGAGTGACGACCTGGTAAGATATGCAGGAAGTCGATGGATGCAGGTGACTCAGGACCGTGCTTTGTAGCATTCCTTGGGGGATTCCTATGTTCAGCAGTGGACTTGTGAAGGGCTGTAATGATAATGATGATGATGATGTAACGAAGCAGGTAAAACCTTTAAGTAATGCAAGCCGGTGACGAATTTTTGAAAAGGGCTGTATCCAACAATGATCTATAATAATAAAAAAGTAAAGTTACATCCGATATATGTTCCACTTCGTATATTTACATCAAAATGTTTTATTTCTCAGACATATAGCTTTCCTCGCGACGTTTACCTTCACCGACAAGCAAGTTGTTAATCAGCAATTACAATTGCAATTTTGACAACTTCATTACTGGCGGCAGTGATCGAAACTTGTTTTGTTCTAGTACTGCAAGATTTATGATGAGCACTAAGCTTACAAACTGCCAGGGTTCTGATAAAAATGGATCTAACGTAGTAAATTTAAAGTCGCCATTCAGTAACTGTCATTAACAATTCCTTCCTCATCCATTACGCGTTGATGACATTTTTAAATAATAATAATTAAATTGTTTAACAGAATCACGCCATTGAATGTTTTTATGGTTGGCTTAACGGCAACTTGGTGGCGACACATGAGCGACGGCCCTCTATGGATACCATTCATCGAGAAGGAGTGTGCACAATGCAGGGATAAGTGGTGGGCGCAATTCCTGTATATCAACAACTTTATTGAACCAGACAAAAAGTGCCTGATACAGACATGGTAACTACTTCTACTGGTATTTTTTTTCAACCTGTAAAATTTCGTTTAGTGTTTACGAAATTTGTTAAATTAATTTTTAGAAATCAGTGTGATAGTAGTGATAATACTGTGCGTGGTGGAGCCATGCTGCAGCTACATTGTTGTTGTAGCACGAATGGGCTGGCTCGGCCGGGGAAAGACCACTTTCTTACAGAATACCAGTGTGAAATAGCGAATTAATACTGCTGTATTTCATAAGGTGTGTGTAGAGAACCAGATACCCTTTGTTACGGCCTGCAGCTGCCTAGCTAATGGTAGTATCCACCTAGGCCCATAGTAGGAAGATCCTACAGGCAGATACAGGTCGGGCTTTTGGCCAAAGTGGAAATTTCTAATAGAAATAAACGAGGGGAAGGATCACTATGATAAAGGCACTCACCTGCTCCAGGAGCGGAGACGGTTCTCCTAGACCGGCCCGGCTGATGACAGTGTCGTGAATGTATGTGTGATTGTCTGTGCGTGTATGTTGACGTGGCCTGATCTGGATGACGCAATGCCGTCCGGGAGAAGGTATGCGCTGGTATCCTCGGAACTTTCCCCCTCTGGAGGCACTCTTCCTGGTATGTCACGAAATGGGACAGCTACACGTAGTACTTCAGAGGTAAATCACTATTATAGTTGCACAATTAATTTAACAGAGTTCGTAAGTCCTAATGAACGATACGGTTCTCACAACGATTTACGCGGGTTGATACTTTCGTAACAAGTTAGGCGCGGGAAACGTCAGTATAGCTCGCAAGGAATTCTACAATGACTCTCGAGAAGTCCGATCCCGCCGCGCCACGCGGCCGGGGGAGGGGAAGGTGACCTCGATATCGAGGCCAAGCGCGCGCGTTAAAGAATACCTTTCGAAGGTAAAATATTCTTGCCTAAACAAACCCCCGCCCCGGACATAAAGCATTAGGTCCGCGAGTAGATTGGCAAACGGGACAAGGTCGCGACGGCACGTTACAAGACCGAATCTCCGACCAAAATCTCGGCCACTCTAGGCACCCCATCCGCTCCATACGACAACTTAACAATGCGCCCACGGCGCCAATACAAAGGTAGAGCGTTTGGTTCTTTAATCAACACGAGGTCTCCCACCCAAGGAGGCTCCGTCTTGTCAGACCACTTAACGCGCTGCTGCAAAAGATGTAGGTACTCCAGAGACCATCGGTGCCAAAAGTTTTGAGTCATCTGTTGCAGCAGGGCAAACCTGCTAAGCCGTGAAGCGCTCGTTTCCCTGAAGGGGTACTCGGGCAGAGCGTTAAGAGGCTGGCCAATCAGGAAGTGTCTCGGGGTTAAAACTTCCAAATCATTCGGGTCGGAGGAGAAGGGACAGAGGGGCCGATAGTTGAGTACCGCCTCAATTTTACAGAATACAGTGGCGAGCTCCTCAAATGTCAAAATAGCTTCACCAATAACGCGACGGAGATGCGTTTTTGCCACTTTAACCACCGCCTCGAAAATACCGCCCCAGTGGGGACACGCCGAAGGGTCGAATTTCCACTGGATGCCCCTTTTTGACATAGCATTGCCTAAATAAGTCCGGTGGCTAGACAGAAACTCGACGACCTCCTTTAGATACCTATCCGTGCCCTTATAATTCGTTCCGCAATCCGACCGGATCAAGTCCGGCAACCCGCGCCGCGATACGAAACGGCCAAGCGTGGCTAAGAAGGCTTCCGTGCTGAGGGCGCTTACAAGTTCCAAGTGAAGGGATTTAGTGGAGAGGCACACGAAGACGCAAAGATAGGCCTTATGCGAACGAGCGTTACGAAGGTTAGAGGACTTGACGAGGAAGGGGCCAGCAAAGTCGGTTCCGACTCCAGCAAATGGTCGGATGGCCCTGACGCGGTTGGGCGACAAGTCACCCATGAGGGGCTGCGATATGGTGGCCTTCAGTTTATAACAGGATATGCAATTAAAGATGACGCTCCGGATGATACGTCGGCCAGCCAAAATCCAAAACTCCCGCTGTAAAATAGCCGAAAGAGCGTTGCACCCAGCGTGGGCATTCTTAACATGGTGGTGGGCTACCAGCAATCGGACCAGGGCGCCGTCTTTAGGGAGCAGCAACGGGTGTCGAGCCCCGTACGGCAGTTGAGAATTTTTTAAACGTCCGCCAACGCGCAGCATCCCCGCGTTATCCAGAAAGAGGTTCAGGCGGGCCAGGGCGCCCTTGATAACGGAGCCACGCTTCAAGTTTTCAATGACGGGCTCAAATTGCTCCGTTTGGACCATACGGGTCCAGTGCATCAAAGCTTCACGGCGCTCGCTAGGGGACAAAACGCTATCAGAGAGTCGGTGGGATGGGTATCTCGAATTGCGGACAAAGCGGCGCAACCAAGCAGAAACTCCCAAGAGCTTATCGAGGGAGCTGTACCGTTCCAGAAGAGAGAGATCCCGAGTGGGCTTATCCTTGCCCACTCCTACTCGGGCTCGTAGGCCCGGCAATTCGGTAGGTTCGGAGTAATTGCCCGGGGGCCAGAATGACTGAGACCCAGATAACCAACCGGGACCCAACCACAGTGGGTGGTCAACCAGCGATGGGGCCTCACAGCCGCGAGAAGCGCAGACCGCGGGATTCAACTCCCCTGGGACATGTCGCCATTTGAGAGAAGTCTCAGAACTCTGGATTTGAGACACGCGGTTCGCCACAAAGACCTCAAGATTGTGAGGTGCAGCTCGGAGCCAACAAAGTACTATCTCACTGTCCGACCATGCGTAGACGCCCGTAATGTCGATTACAGGCTTCAAGGAAGAGTGAACGTGGTTGAGGAGTCGCGTGAGGAGAGCGACACCGGACAGTTCCAATTTAGGGATAGTTAAGCGGGGATGCCGTGTAGTGGCGGTTAAGAATATCCACTACCCCATATCTTCCCGTGGGTGTCGTAAAAGGCGACAAAGGGAAACCGGCAGGAGATGGGCAGCAGCATCTTCCTGATAATAGCCAAAATAACAATAAAAAAAACTGCGGTTGCCAACCCGCTCGCCAAGCGTGGCAACTATGGCAATATACCCCCCATAATGAAAGTTACGAAGAGACGGCCCCCAGTCCCCGGCGGCCCCGCTATTCCTGGCTACGGTGGCGACCATGGTAACGGCGGGGCAGGGGGTGCTAAGAATCTCCGATGGAGGTTCGGTTGCCACCTACGACGACTCGACCTGGCAACATACAACGCACGCACCCTGAGGACTGGCGAGAAGATTGTGGAGCTGGAAGAAGAGATAGACAAGTTACGCTGGCATATTATAGGATTATCCGAAGTCCGAAGAGAGGGGGAGGACACGGTAATCCTCGAATCCGGCAACTTGCTCTATTACCGGGAGGGCGACCATCTGTCCCAAGGAGGTGTCGGATTTATCGTCCACAAGTCTCTCGTTAACAACGTTGTAAAGATTGAGAGTGTGTCGACGAGGGTTGCGTACCTTATACTCAGAATCACCAAACGGTATTCGCTGAAGGTCATACAGGTTTACGCACCAACCTCGGCACACCCCGATCAGGAGGTGGAGGAAATGTATGAGGATATCTCTAGAGCCATGCATTCCTCCAAAACCCAATATACGGTGTTAATGGGAGACTTCAATGCAAAACTAGGCACAAGAGAGAACGGTGAGCTGAAAGTAGGGAAATTTGGAATAGGGCAACGGAACCCAAGGGGCCAGCAGCTGGCCGACTTCATGGAGAAAGAGGGACTCTTTATGATGAACTCTTTCTTCCAGAAGCGGCCCCACAGGAAGTGGACCTGGTCGAGCCCCGACGGTTCGACAAAAAATGAGATTGACTTCATTATGACGACCAGATGACAACTGTTCAGTGATATCTCAGTGATCGCGAGGGTGAAAACCGGCAGCGATCACCGAATGGTTAGAGGCACACTGAACCTAAACGTTAAGTTGGAGAGGTCTCGTCTAATGAAGTCAACGCTCCGTACCCCTCGTGCTCTAATCCAAAGTCCCGAAACCTTTCAGCTCGAGTTACAAAACCGTTTTCAGTGCCTAGAAGACTGCAATGAAGTGGACGATTTGAATGACAAGCTCGTGGAAACTGTCCATGCGGTCGGAGCTAAGTTCTGCAAGACCCGCCGCAGAAGAACACAAAAACTCTCCGATCACACTCTTAATCTCATGGCTGTTAGACGGGAGATGAAGCTACATTCTTCAACAGATTTAACAGCATACAGGCAACTGAACAGACAGATCTCCAAATGCATGCGGCGGGACCTACGCAAATTCAATACAGCTCGTATTGAAGAAGCGATCGAGCGGAACCAAGGCTCCAAAGTCTTTGCCAGAGATCTGTCTGCCAGAAAGCGCCAACTGTCAAAGCTGAAGACAGAATGTGGCAGCATCGTTTCCGGGGCACCTGAGATTTTGAGTGAGATTGAGAGGTTCTATGGGCAGCTGTACACGTCATCGTTGGAGCCGCACGCAAGTGTGAGTTACGATCCAAGAGCGAGTCTTATCCGACATTATTCCGATGATATCCCGGACGTCAGTCTGAGCGAGATTAGAATGGCTCTCCAGCACCTTAAAAACGGCAAGGCCCCAGGCGAGGATGGAATTACAGCGGAGCTTCTGAAAGCGGGTGGAAAACTGGTACTTGAAGTCCTTCAGAAGCTCTTTAATTCCGTCCTCCATGGTGGCATTACACCGGAGGCGTGGAGCAGAAGTGCGGTGGTCTTGTTCTTCAAGAAAGGCGACAACGCTCTCTTGAAGAACTACAGACCGATTTCCCTTCTGAGCCGCGTCTACGTGCTGTTTTCGAGAGTCATTACGAATCGTCTCGCGCGCAGACTTGACGACTTCCAGCCTCCCGAACAAGCCGGTTTCCGAAAAGGCTTTAGCACCATAGACCACATACATACCCTTCGGCAAATTGTACAGAAGTCCGAGGAGTACAATTTGCCACTATGTCTGGCGTATGTGGACTATGAGAAAGCCTTTGATTCCGTCGAAATTTGGGCGGTGCT